TCATCACAATGAAAGTGGTACGGGTTATTGCTGTTCTCTGTTAATGTGTAGTTTACATGCATCTAACTGCTTATGTAGCACTGAAAAATGATATAAATGAACCTTGTAACGAACAATTTCGCATCCTGTCCCGTCGTCAGCACTAAATCCGGATCGTTCGGCGCGAACCTACAGCACAGGGGTGTGTCGCTATGCACGCCTATAACTGCGCCTACATCTCCGATCGGACTGTACTGAAATCAAAGACACATTCACATTGCAACTGACGCAATTCAAAAACGCGGCTCACTCGGCTGAGTCGGAAGACAAGTTGCGATGACTGGGAGATGGTAATTGAAGGGCGATGCAGGCAGAGTGGGGAGTGGCATTTTTGCAGTTCGAAGCCGAACGCAAAAAAGCCAAAAAAAGAAAAAGAAATCAAAAAAGAGACGCAAACCCGGCAAAAGCCGGGCCGAATTTTGGTAGTTGCCCGATCAAATTAATCATTTTGTCTGCTACTTTTTTTACAGTTCTAGTGTACCTATACAGCTGGGACCCGACATAGTATCTATCAGATTTCCGATGAAAGAAAGGATGCACCCCAAATTTACCGCATCCTAATCATTTTGGCGCTCTTAGCAGAAAAAACACCTTTGCCTGTCTTGCTTCCATCTTGTACTGTTTTCAGGAAGCGAACTAATACCATAGGGCCTCGAATAAAGCCTTGCAGTAGCACCGCCGGCTTCTTTGCATGCATTAAATGCTTCACTCAACCTTTCTTCCTCTTCCCTTTTCCATTCTTTTCACGCCGTACCTGTCTAATGTCGAGGACTGAACCTTATTCTAAAGCAATTTCTCAAAGACTGCTCATAAAATGACTTTTTCTTCCAGTACAAACTTGCCATTTGCAAAAATTCGCGCATGGAACGATCGGTCGCTATTTTGCAACAAATTACAAAAGATTTTCCGTTCTCGCCAATTGCTCTGGCCGATTTCTCCACTGCTAGTGGTACAGTGGCGCCTGGTATCCATGTGAAAAGCTTCTCTTCTGACCATCTAAAATTA